TTATCCCGCAATTTTTCGGTTGACTCTTTCCTAAAGATTAGAGCATATTCGTGGACACAAAATATTATTTCATTTTTATTTTATAACCGTCGTTGAACGGCTGACACAATTTTTTGGGTTTACGACTACTTATGCTCAACTCAGTAGCTTTGTAATTTTGAACTCAATCCAGAAGACAAGGGAAATCCCGGATCAATTACATATGTAATAAGCATGTAAGCACTTATGACATATGCAATAAGCATGTTTATTCATCATAACTCTTATAACTACAGGAGTTGGAGAAAAATATGGAAACACTTCCAAAACAATTTTTCTTTTATCAGCAAATGCTTTAGAAAATTTGACATGGCGAAACTATTAGAAAAATCATGCTTGGAACTTTTAGAAATGCTGTCCTTTTTACCAATACAAAATTTTCATTATTCTTTTTTTAATACCACTACGATTTAAAAAAATATTCTATTATGAATATTGCAATTCTATTGAATAATTTCATACTTCCTAACTGTAAATAATGTAAATGTTCAGTAGTGTTTATTTTCTCGTTGTACTTTAATTTTACCTTTTTTTCATGTGCTTTTTATTACTTGTAATTTTGTTATTACCTAATAATGGCAAAGTGCCATTTTTTGCCTCTCACGAACTCCATTTTGATCCCCAAACTTTATTTTTGTCATGTATGTTTCTCAGTCTAATTTCAGGATGAATGGGAAAAGGGCCGCAGATGCCCAGTTCCACTACAATGAAAGAACGAAAGAATAATTTCAAAATATCCGGCATTTAAACTAGAAAGAAATTATTTACTTCCTTTCTTGCTTTTGGTCTATCCGAATTTTGCATGGGTACAAATGACACCATATCTAAAAGCTTCAAGTATGATCTTCTAAATTGTACCAACAGTTTTGCAATGCAGAATTTTCCAAAATAGTTGCTACTTAAAGAAAGATAGTATAGAAGTGTTTCCATATTTTTATCTAACCCTTATATATGATAGTGTAACGCAGTTTCGCTAATCTATCGAAATTTCGAGTGATGAATAGAAATATTTCGTTTATCCCCCTTTTACCTACATATTTGTTCACCTGTTCGTCATTTTGTTTTTCCTATATTTGAAGGCCTTTTTTCGATAGCTTAAATTTATCTTAGCATTACACCAAATAATATCGGAAACTAATTACCCCTAAATTCGTAAAAAGGTAAATAAATTTTGGACATAACATGTATCTCATGTTTTTAAAAAGTTATCATAAAACGATCACCAAAGTAATTTGATAACTTATAAATAGAGTTATGTTATCTAATAGGTGAAAATTTACAGCTTTTAAGTGTTACCAGCTAAATTGCCACTGCTTTGAAGATATTTGCTACTAAAAGAAAGATCAAGTGTTTTCATACTTTTGTCTAACCCTTATATGTGATAGTGTAACGCAGTTTCGCTAATCTATCGAAATTTCGAGTGATGAATGGAAATATTTCGTTTCTCCCCCTATTACCTACATATTTGTTCACCTGTTCGTCATTTTGTTTTTCCTATATTTGAAGGCCTTTTTTCGATAGCTTAAATTTATCTTAGCATTACACCACATAATATCGGAAACTAATTACCCCCAAATTAGTAAAAAGGTAAATAAATTTTGGACATAACTTGTATTTCATGTTTTTAAAAAGTTATCATAAAGCGATCACCAAAGTAATTTGATAACTTATAAATAGAGTTATGTTATCTAATAGGTGAAAATTTACAGCGTTTTAGTGTTACCAGCTAAATTGCCACTGCTTTGAAGATACTACAATAATAATTCTGGAGTATATATTAAATATATATTCGTTTCACCATTTGTTGCTTCGTGTTTCTAACTCTCTCACAAAATATTGCGTGTCTACGATCTAAAAAAAGGATAATGGAGTTTTTCTAAACTTTTGAAAATTTAATTATGTTAGCTTGCACTTTAGTTTTATAAAATTGATTGAGAATTTCTTATGTTAATGAAAATGAAATAATATTTTTTGCAAGTATGAATGCGTTTAACTGAGATGTAAAATGATGAACATCAGTAATCAATAAAAAAAAGATATCTCCATTCTTTTTCTTTCACTTGATTATTAAAGAATTTCGATTTAGAGATTATGTCTTAAGGCAGTAACTTAATTATAAATAAATTGACTAATTGAAATTTATGTTAATATTTATTTTCATTACTTAGGTGTAATTTATGCTTCATGTAGGAAATTTCCCTATAACTACGGAATCTCCGTAGTTTCAGAAAATATATTTCGGTAGCAAAAACGATTTATTTTAATAAAGTAAATCAGTGTTGCTTTCGTAAAGCGTGCTTTTTAAATTTTATTTTTTTCACTTATAGTTCTCTAATTATATCCGATGCCTATGGTTTCAAAATTAAATTGTTAACTAAAATTTCATTTTTCATAGCGTTATATGATAAAATAGTTGCCACTTTTTACATGTGTCGACGCAGTGTGAATCCCCGCGTAGTCATAGCCTGTAGTTTCTCGAGGTATATAAGTCCGTCTCATAATGATTTTCAGAATCATGTGTTAGGTTCGTTATGATTTAGAAGATGATAAAAAAAGATAGATAGATAGATAGATAGATAGATAGATAGATAGATAGATAGATAGATAGATAGATAGAGAGAGAGAGAGAGAGAGAGAGAGAGAGAGAGAGAGAGAAATGTAGTTGAAAGTCTTGAAGTAACTGAGCATCTCTGCATACAAGTTAATGATATAATAGTAGTGTCTAAAAATGTAAAGAAGCTGCATAAAATGTTGCCTGAAAAAAAATCTATTAAGAGAAATCTGCACAACATATTTTTTTCAGTAGAACTGAATGCATAGGAGACGTATATCATTTATTATGTAGTTGTGATAGAATAGTTAAATTAAGAAATCATATAATAAGAACCTATTTTTTTTTGTTTTTTAAGCACATCACCATTCATAGAAATTACCAAGTTTGGTTGCCGAAATAACTAATGTTTATGGAGGAAAAAGTGTAAGAGTAACCTCTTCACGGAAAATGTGATTTCAAAAATTGACCTTTCATATTTGTGATTAAAAATTCCTGAAACGCGTATAAGGGTCAAGGAGCAGACCCCACATCAGAAAGGGTTCGAATCCCGTACAAGGTAAGGATGTTCTTTCATTCTCTGTCCTTACAGTGGAAGCAACTTTGGCCCTCTTAATATGGTGCTCCTGAAAGAGTGGCCCACAAATCTGATACATGAATGTCAAACGAGTGGGCATTGGGAGAAAAAAAAAGTTTTGAAGCGCAGTACATGTCGCGAAATATTTTGCCGCTAAATGTAATATTAATAAATTTAAAGAAAGTATTTTTTTTTATTAAAAAAAAAGCTCTTAATAACACATAACCCATTTCCAACTTTAATTTCTTCTAATGTTGATTTTCCCAAATTGGTAGCTAAAAGGAAATTTAAATATGGTTAACACGACAAAATTATTTTTCCAGAACTTAGCAATCTGACAATCGTGTATTTATATATACGGTTCACAAATTTACAAGGAAGGATGGTCAAAATCATTTTAACCCTCTGCGAAACAGCTATTGAAAATTTTAGCAGTAGGTGTGACCTTAGATAGTACATTTTAAATGAAGCGACATACTTTAGCTCTTTGCTGTTTAAAGAATATTGCTTGCCAAACATTGAAAAGCTATCAGTTTTATATTCCTAGTAGTTTGCAACATTTATTGAATTGGTGTTGATAGACTGGATCCGGAAAGTGTTAAATTAAATTCAGAGTGTATATATATATATATATTAGAAGATGATATATAAGATGATTAAGAAGATGATATATAAGATGATTAAGAATATGATATATATCATTAAGAGCTTATTTTACTCCTTCTGAAAACAAGCGATTGACGAAATGGTTTTACTACCAGTTTCTTCTCTTTTCGTCTAACTTTCAGGTCTGATTTAATTTATAAATTCATGATAAAATCTTAAGAAACATTCGTAAAATATGATAGATATGCATTCCCTGCCGAGTGATTGCAAATACAAAATTTTGTAGTTACTTGAATACTGTCTTTATTAAAAAAAAAGTAATAAGACATTTGCCCTTGGACAAAGTGGGTATTTTCTATAATTAGCTACAACTTTAAAAAAAAATCACAAATTAATAATATTAGTTTGATATGAAATTCTATTACATTTTGTTGGATGTCTTGGTTTCGCAATATTGAAAAATCATTTTTGGAAAGAGTTGATGAACTTCAAATGATCCCGGAACAGTTTTGAGACAAGTAAAATGGAAGGTGACAAATTAAAATCACACGTAAATAAATCATTAGGCAATTAGCATTGTGATTAATTAATTACATTAAGAGATGGAATGTAGCATCTTGAAGTTTTTGGTTAAATTCTAATTCTGAATTGTCGCAAAAAATACCATTAAAAAGATTACAAATGAGTATATTATTTTTAAAAAAAACCCTAATGTGAATTTACTCATTAGGCCACAATATATATATTAAAAAAAAGATATGAAACTTTGAATTTGTTGCGATCACTTTTTGACCGGTATTATATTTGTTTTTTACTGAAAGAATAAAGAGGTAAAAAAATACAGATATCTGTAAGTTCTCCATACAATGTATTTGAAATTTTATTACAAAACAAATTCATTCCTTTATAATGAAGTACTCTTATACTCAATTTTCATTAGGTGAACATGCAATATTTTCATACGAATTTTTTTAAGAGTGATGAAAATAATCTCTGTACCTAAGATAATTATTTCATTTTTCTAAATAATTTAAGCATCTTTTAAAGAAAAAAGCATTTTAAATCTGGGAAAATAAATAAATTGATTATTTTGTAAGTGAGCACATGAATATGTACAAAAACTATCGATTCAAAGAAACAAAATCACTCACCAAAAGAACTTCCAATCGTCTTTTCCTTTTCTCATCTCTTCCTAAAGGGAATTCTGAGAGACGTCAATAAGACTCCGCCCCACTAGGGAGTGGCTAACAGGTACTGCCACCTGAGTGGCGCCGTTAGAGGTGGGGTTACATCAGTTACCTCCCCTTCAAGTAGGGTGGTCAGATGGACTTCATTCCAAGCGTGATTCTTACAAGAGGGACAACCGGCGATCATGCTGGTTCCCCCTGATATGATGACTGCACAATCGAAGCTCTTGTATCAGTTGAATAAGTTCTATGGGGAAAGAGTTCAAACTCGTAAGGGAAAAGTTGCAAATACGGTGAGAGAGGTTTGCAAGGTGGTTCAAGATGTTTTAAAAGAAGTCGAGGTCCAGGAACCACGATTTATATCGTCTTTAAATGATTGCAATGGACATTTTGACGGCTTCGAAGTTATATCTCCGTGGGAATTTGAAGTTGTGCTTTACCTTAACCAAATGGGTGTCTTTAACTTCGTCGATGATGGTTCTTTACCAGGATGCGCCGTATTGAAACTTAGTGACGGCCGCAAGAGATCAATGTCCTTGTGGGTTGAATTCATTACAGCATCGGGTTATCTTTCAGCAAGAAAGATTCGATCTCGTTTTCAGACTCTCGTAGCACAGGCTTGCGACAAGTGCAGTTATCGGGAGATGGTAAAAATGGTAGCGGATACCACGGAGGTGAAGTTGCGAATTAAAGAAAGATTTGTTGTGCAAATAACGCCAGCTTTCCGTTGTAGTGGTTTATGGCCAAGATCTGCTGCTCATTGGCCTATTCCTCACATACCGTGGCCAAATCCGAATCTCGTAGCAGAAGTTAAAGCTGAAGGATTTGACTTGCTATCTAAAGAAAGCGTGACTCTGCAGGGAAAACAATCATCGATGGAAGGCGATGCTTGGGTACTAAATTTCTGTGAAGCGGAAAATAGGCTTCTTCAAGGAGGATGCCGAAAGAAATGCTTAAGCATCTTAAAGACTCTTAAAGACAAGCATCTTGATCTTCCGGGTAATCCTGTTACAGCTTATCACTTGAAGACCCTGTTATTGTATGAGTGTGAAAAACATCCCAGGGAACTTGAGTGGGATGAAACCTGCTTAGGTGATAGAATTAATGGTATTCTTCTTCAACTTATATCGTGTCTTCAATGTCGTAGATGTCCTCACTATTTTCTTCCTCAGTTAGACTTGTTTAAAGGAAAATCCGCGAGTTCTTTAGAAAATGCTGCTAAGCATGCATGGAGATTGACAAGAGAGTTGCTTACAAATCCCAGATCTCTTGAGAAACTTTGACTTTATTAGAACAACTTCCCGGTAGTGAATCTCTTCATATAAACTCATATTTTCCTCATGTAGATTTATCAACTTTTTTGCTAAATTGTTTAGAATCAATTTTGGAAGAAGGTATCGTATAGATTTTGTTATATAAAATTTATCTACGCAATTTTATTTTAATAAGATACTTTTATTTACTTGTGAAACATCTAGTCTTTTTTCAGACGAAAACTCGAAATTATTATCAAAACCTTATGTTGTTTAATTTTAAAAAAAATCTAAACATTGGCATTGAATTATATAGGTAATTTAAAAAAAGTGTATTTATATAAATGTAAAAATATTTGTTGTAAAATAAAATATTGTTGTTTAAGCTTGAATTAGAGTATTAATGATTAGAGATTTTCTAGATTATTTTAGATAGTTAACGATGGTTTGCACTATATTTGAAATTTCCCCGAATGTATTTTGCATGCACAAATACGTTTCTTTTTGCGTATTAGAAGTAGACGCTGTATTGATTAGTCGCAATATTGTACTAAATAAATTTTTAAGATTAAGAAAACCGCGTGACAAAACTATTATCATTAAATAATTACCAATGCTAGGAAGATATCTTATTGGATATGTGATAGTCTTCAATCATTTAAAAAACGTCAAATGTTTTTTTTAGATTAATTATGTTTTGAATAACAATTTTCCTGTTTTCATATAAGATTAGCTTTAATGTAAGCATTGTTATTAATGCATAGCAGCCAACTTATATACACGCTTTTAACAGAAGGTTTCTTTCTATTGATACGTTATTGCTCGATTTAAAGTGATTTTGAACATCCCAATGCAAAACTATTTAAATGTACCGATGAAGTACCTGATAAAATTGTGACATTTTTTCTTTTTTAAGTACTGACATAATTAAACAGGTAATGAATTATGCAAAGTAATTCATTAACACTAGAAAAAAATCTTCTCAAAAATCTTGGCTGCTATGATCAATATAAGCATTGTTACACTTTTCATTTTGTACTTTGGTCTTTGTACAATACTGCTCAAGCTGATAAAATTTATTTCTTTTTCGTTTTTAAGTACTGACATAATTAAACAGGTAATGAATTACGCAAAGTAATTAATTGCCATTAGAAAAAAAAATTCTTCCTAAAAATCTAGGATGCTATGAACAATGTAAGTATTGTACACTTTCCATTTTGTACTTCGGTCTTTGTACTATACTGCACGAGCGGATAATTTTTTTAAGTACTCACATATTCAAACAGTTAATGAATTATGCAGAGTAATTCATTAAAACTAGTAAAAAATCTTTAAAAAAAACTTGGTAATGTAAGTATTGTTACAATCAATTGTTATAATCAATGTAAGTATTGTTACACTTTTCATTTTGTACTTGGTCTTTGTACAATATTGCACGAGCTGTGACAGCAATGCATATTCCTTATTTCAAGAAAGGCATTAACAATTTTTAGTCTAGCAAAGTGGCTGGTGTTTCAAAAAAGGTTTTGAGAATTATGATTTAAATTTTCTTTTCACGTACCTAAAGGCGTTTTAAAAATTGGTAACTTTTTCAATAAATCATAAAATAGTTTGAAATTAGTCAGTATGATAATGTTTACATCTTGATTTATTTTTAATAATTATAAAAGATAACGATAGTAAATAATCAAAATATAATAATTTCTAATAAATTCAAAAATGCGTCACTTTTTCAATGACTCTACAAGTTGGCAGTTTTGATACTGAGAAAATATATGTTTCATTCAATTTTTTAATCTGAGAATCTATCGTTTAAGCTTAAAGTGTGTTATTGTTTTGTTATTTCTTATAATTTAGATACCACTTTTAAATATTTCGCAGAATTATGGTCACTGGATTACTTAGAAACCTTGTGAAAAATCTTCCGTTAAGATTGGGAGAAGTGAGCAACTAAGCACTAGAAAATGAAATTTTTTCATAATTTGACTAAGCGAATTTCTTCTTTTTTTTCAAACCGCTGTTATAAATTATTTTTACAATCTCATTCTTAATTGTTGATTTCAGCGCCTTTAGCCCTCTTCGCTGAAAGAATAGTAATTATTTCAACCAATTTACATACTTGTCAACTCTTCCGGTTTTCCCGGAAGATTTTATTTTTATGCTTAATGTGGTGTTAAAATTCATAGAATCACATTTTATTTTTCATTAAATAAATGCGGTTTAAACTGATTTTGACTGCCATTACATTTGGATAATTTAAACATGTATACGATACTCGAGATAGGTACCAAAAGCGAGGCTCTGGGAGAGTGTTTTTAATGGTTGGCTAAACTTTCACGATATTTCAAACATGCAATTTCAATTTCATTGACTTTGCCCTACCATTAAGGAGACAAATTTTTGAAAAGCGTAAAAGTTGGCAAGAATTGTCAAAGCTGCAATGAAATTTATCTTGGGACATTCGTCACCATCAAGAAATATTAATAATATTTTAAACTGGAATAAGACTGAAGTGGTAGATAGAACTAAAAATTATCCGCCTAACTTAAGTTCAAATACTTCATGTGTTAATTAGTTTCACAAAGTCAGTGGTTCACAGGTTCAAATATTTATTGTGAAAACAGGGTTTTGTCTACTTTTCGATGTTTCTTGAAATTTAGTGAGGACCAATTTTAGTTAGTTTCGAATGAAATACATGAAGAGGGACAAAGGTTTTATGTCCATTTTTCACAAAACTAATGATTGGATCGCCATCTGTTGTCCCAAGTATTAACAAATCAATAACTTAAAAACTGGGTTTTCCTTGAGAGTTATTACGAAATGATCCTTTATTTGCAAAATTATTTTTTCTCTGAATCAGATTTCATGGGCATAAACCGTTCTTTCTCCGTGGTCTTCATATATGCTAAGTATTTATAATAATTTTTATGTAATACTAATTTAATGTTTTTCAATTAAAATACTATTTTTTTTCCTTCAAAACGACTATAATAGGTAAGAGTATCATAGGTAAAGGAAGTTTTTTTGCTGTTTAACATATTCTCTGCAAAGTAGGGTGTAAACACGCAAAATTTTGTAATGAAATAATAAGTATAAACTTTTTTTTAGCGCAAAAGTTAGATTAATCATTGAATAACAATGGCATAGTTTTAGAATTAAATTTTTTTTTTTACGAATCAAATTTTTTCAACAAACGAACCAACGAATTTCAACGAAGCAACCAATTTTTTCTGAAATTTATCTTAGTTTCACAAAGATGAATGTATACGAATATCTTGGTTTCACAAAGATAAATTTCAAAAGTGAAATTTTATTTTGTTTGGAAAGAAAAACAGGAAGATAAGGCAGAGTAGTCAACCAAAAATTTAAGACGTGAAAGCAAATGAAAATTTTTCCTTATTAGAAACTACTTGCGATAAAATACTTTTTATCGTGTCGGATTTCGGTACTTATAAATTATTGTGGAAATCAGAAATGTTTTTCGAAAAGTTTATTAAAACTAGAAGCACATTGCATGTTACCACTTAAATTATTTTGACCATTATTGAGAGCCTTGATTAGGCCGAATAGGTTCTTGAAAAAGTTTTCAAAATTGTTTAAAATAAGTGCTAAAGTAGGTAGAGTGAAATATTTCCTACATCGATTAACCCTTTAATAGGACATTTATTTCTAGCAAATGTGATTTAAGGTATTTTTGGAATTGAAATTAATATAAGAATAGTGATTCATATAAGAAAAAAAACTCATTTTGCTTATAAAAAATTAATATAAATTTTAAAGTATATTTACCACGACCTATTAGGAACTTATTCACTTTATTTTTCATTATTTAGAAATATATTTTAGAAATGCTACAAACTTCAAAAGGAATTATGTATTTTATAACTTTTACACGTTTTCTTAAGCTAACAAATGTTTACCAATTTTATTCAAACGCACTTCAAGAAAGCTGAAGCTATTAGCAAAGGGACACCTATATTAAAAGTGGTAAAAAAGTTCACAATGGGCTTTAAAAATTGGTGGTAAGTATACTTACCACGGTCTTAGAAAGGGTTAACCCTTTGCACTCCGATGTGCTCACGGAGGCACCATCAACAGTCACCACTCTAAAATTAAGAAATTTTATAGCTTAATAATTAGTAACTACATTATTTTAAGAATTCTAAAATTGTTTAATAATACTAAATTGTATATTTTCAATGTTATAGTGCTGATATTAGATCAAACAGCTTTTAAAAGTACTCGGAGTGCAAAGGGTTAATATACTTATATTTTTTTAAAAGACATTTCTTTTATTGAGTAACATGTCATCAAATAGTGTTCCTGTAGTCAACCTGGATTTTCAATATGCTTCTCTTTTTAGGTAATTATTTTTAATGTAATAAGAAGCGTTAATTTGGAAGCTTATGTTTTTACATATTTTGGTTTTTAATACTGATGATTCTTGCATATCCTCTTCACTACTGAAGTATAAAGGAATAAAGCATACATATATATATATATATATCCATAGCATATACATGTCCTCATACATGGACCTTAGGTTTTAACTAAGTAAAATAATATGAATATTTTAAGTGTTACATTGCACACTAAGATGGGCAAACATACATAATGATGCATTATAGTCTATTTAAATACAATGATGAATAAATTTTTAATTTATTCAGAAAAAAATATTCAAAAATACGAAGTCTTGTTATGCAACATATGATATACAATTCTAAATGCAATACAAATGCTTACCAATGCATTACTGCATGATATCTCACTTTCAAAGCTATTTTAATTATGAAACGATGCTAAATAAATAATTATTGAAAGGAGTCTAACATTAAATGTGAACAAATATTTATTCCTTGGGGGTAAAATTTCAACGTTTTTGTGCCTGATTTCGTAACTTAAAATATCGTCTACACTAATTAATTAGCATATTTTAAGTCATCCCTTCGAACCATTAAGATTGAGTTAGAGAACGTGAAGATCCGATCATTAGATCAAAAGCTATTCAGGATGGTTCGATTTTTTTGCACACTGTACATTGATGTAAAACAATTAATTAATTAAAATATACATAAAAATATTACTAAATGGATATAAAATTGAATACTTATAATAGTTCGAGATTTCACTTTACGACGTTGCCGTAAATTGTCATTATGTACCAAGGCACTCATACGTGGACCTGCATGTTATTGACTTAGCAACTTTAAAATATTCGGTAAATACAAATTTAAAAGCTTCATACTATCACAAAATCACAGTCAAAAGAAAAAAAAATATTTTCAGAATAACTAAATTTTATAACATTTCAATTTAGTTATCTTTTCGAGCATGCG